GATAAGTATATTAATACATTAAAATTTTTATTATCTTAAGTTAAATGTACAAAAGGGTTTTATTATGATAGTTATAACATGCATACAATGTACATTGATCAAATTCACTCCATCTGTATTATTCTTTCTTTTTTTAAATTTTTTTATTTTATCGCTTTTACATTTACTCACATGTATATACACTGTGGGCCACCTCCCTCCGCTCCTCCCCATGTTATTCTTTCTTAATCACTTTCTCCCCCATCCTTTTTACAGCTTTTTGTTGATTTCATTGTGCTATTTATATACTTATATATAGTACACTTTTATAATATCCCCCCCATCACCCACTCCTTTCCCCATTTTGACTTAGACTATTTTCAACTGGCAATGGGTTTATTAGGATGTGACCCCATTGTGAGTCAAGGAGCCACCTGTACTTTAAAGATGTTTTCATTGTTTCCTGTGAAAAATCCATTCCTATCCTCATCTCTGTTCTGTGAGCAAATGTATTTTCTTCTCTCTGGTTGGTCTGAAGGTTTTCTCTTCACCTGTTTTCATCTATCTCAGTCTATTTGATTACAATGTGCCTTGATGCACTTCTCTTCTTGTTTCCTTTTCTTTCTTTGGCAGTACTGGGTTTGAATTTAGGGTTTCACACTTGCTAGGCAAGTGCTCTACCACTTAAGCCATGCCCTTAGCCCTTTTTGCCTTGGTTATTTTCAGATAGGGTCTTGCACTTTTGCCACAGTTGGCCTTGGACGTTGATCTTCCTTCCTCCACCTCCTGTATAGCTGGGATTATAGATGTGTACCACCATGCCCAGCTTGTTAAGAAAGGATTTCACTAATTTTTTGCTCAGATTGGATTCTATTGGAGATCTTCCTATCTTTGCCTTCCAAGAAGATAGGATTACAGGTGTGGGCTACCATGCTCACCACTTCATGTCTCATGCATGTGTTTATTGAGCTACTTAGATTATTTTTTGTCAAATTTGGAAATATTTTTGCAATTATTACTTCAAATACTTTTTATTAGGTTCTAGACATTATAAATTTTGTTGAGTGTTAGGTATTTCTGTATTCTCACAAATATTCTTGAGTTTTTATCTAGGATAATGTAACTGTTTACAAGGTTTGATCCTTTGAAATGTCTAGGGTTTGTTTGTAGTATTGTTACTTTGTAATAAAGAATTTGAGGAATGCTTTAGCTAGGGTAATGGTTTCTCACTATTAAGGTAAATCTTCCTGGTTTGGCCAGTTGGAACATGTACCATCTCAGCCCTAAGTGGGTTCCCAGTCATTTTCTGTAATGTTTTCCTGTGCTTTGAGCCTCAGGTGCTTTCCTCACACATATATATTATCTAGTTCTAAGTAAACACTGAAAGGAAACCTGCAACTAGCCAGAGTTTAATTTCTCTTGCTCTCACTGTCTCCCCTCTGGGAATTCTAGATGCCTTAGTCTCCCCATCATTTTCTCAAATGAGGGATCATACCACACCTGGATTCTCTCTCAAGGCATTAAGTTGAAGCTATTGTAGGGTTTACCTTGCTTGTTTTCTGATAATTAGAGACCATTTTCTTTGAGTGACTAATATCCAATGTGTTGAAAACACTTATTGCATGTGCGTCCTTTTTTTTTTTTTTTTTTTTTAATGAAGTGCTGGGGTCAAACCCAGGCCATGCACATGCTAGGCAAGTACTCTGCCACTGAGCTACATCCCCAGTCCTTCATTGTAGCCCTTGGTCTTTTTTTTTTTTTTTCTCCTGTTTTCTTCTTTTGGTGGCACAGGGTGGGAGAGATGGGGATTGAATTCATGGCTTGCTAAGGCGGTACTCTACTGAGTCATACCATTAGCCCTTTTTGTTTTGTTTATTTTTGACATAGGGTCTCACTTTCTGCCTAGGTCAGCCTGAACCTCAGTCCTCCTATTTGTGCTTCCCCTTGTAGCTAGGATGACAGGCTCAGGGCACTGTGCCCAGTCATTTGGTTGAGATGGGGGTCTCAAGAACTTTTTGCCTAGGCTTGACCTTGACTCACAGTCTTCCTGATCTGCCTCCCAAGTAGCTGAAATCACAAGCTTGAACACTGCACCTAGCCTAACCTTGGTTTTTTTGAGATAGAGTCTCACTATGTAGCCTTACTGACCTTGAATTTGTGATCCTCCAGCCTCTGTTTCCAAAGTGCTGGAATTAGAGGTGTTTGCCACCATGCCTGGGTTGTCTGTTTGTATAGTTGTTTCAGGTAGGTAGTAAATCTGGTCCCTGTTAGACCATCTTGTCCAAAATATAAGTCTCCTCGATGGTTAGGTTAGGTTGAATGGTTAAGGAGGCAATCTAAGGAGATGTCCTTTAAGCTGGGATTTGAATGATAGAAAGGAGCCAGCTATTATAAGACCCGAGAATGGAATGTTGTGGCATTTAGAAGAATTGTTTCAAAAATCTGAAGATAAGAATGAACTTCTCCTGTTCAGGGAACCAAATGGAGGCAACTGTGTCTGAATCAAGGGTGGAAGTGATGTAATGTGCTCTTGAAGAGGTGCAACAGCCACCTCCCATGAAGAGTTGATTTAAAGCAAAGCATGATAGGATGAAGTAGGGAGCAACTTGATCTGGTTTACATTTTAATACCATCATTTTGGTGCTTTGAGGAAAATGTTTTATAAAAGGACCAGAACAGTAGCAATAAGATTAGTTAGGTGGTCATTATCTTAGTCTAGAGCTAGTGTCCAGCACTGTAGCCACAAGCTCCTTTTGGCTACTTAAATTTAAATATAACTTAATTGAATTTAAGTTAATTTTGTTTATCAGTTGCACAGCCACATTTCAACTGTTTAATACCCGCATAGCTGGTGGCTACCTCATTGGACAGCACCAATTGCAGAGCAGACCATTTTCACTATATTGCAGCACATCATATGGGACAGCACAGATCTAGAGTAAGGAAACAGCAGCTTGAATAGTGTGGCAATAGAGAATTGAATAGCATGAGTAGGTCTGGAACACATTTAGACTTAACTGGCTTGCTGACAGGATGAAGCAGAGGTGACTCCAAGGTATTTCGCTTGTGCTGCTGAATGGGCAAAGCTGATCAGGGATGGAACATTAGAGTTGAAAAGATGTAAATCAAGAGTTGGGATTGCCTTGTTAACTGATAGATGCTTATTAACCATGTAGTTATACCTGGAAGACAGATCTAAGAGTTTGGTATTCAAGGGAAAAGGCATAACTTGATTTGGGAGTTTATTAGACTGCTGGGGTTTCAAAACAATGTATCATAGACTGAATGACTTAAATAACAGATGTTGAGTTCTGGGGCAAAAGTTAAAGATTAAGGTGTCAGGAGGCTTGGTTTTTCCTGAGGATTCTCTCCATGGCCACCTACTTGCTATGTCCTTGCATGGCCTTTTCTCTGTGTGCATGCATCCCTGGTATCTCTTGTAAGGACACTGGTTCTGTTGGATTAGGGCCCCTCCCTTATGATATAAATTATCTGTGACCCTATCTCCAAATATGTTCACATTTTGGGTTAGGGCTTTAACTTAAGAGTTTTGAAGGGACACAATTCAGTCCATAACAAGGAATAATCAGCATATAGATGTTACTTAAACCATGGGAGCTAAGGAAAATATATACATAAGGAAGAAGAAGTAGTCTAATATTAAGCCTAGGCTCTGCAACACTTAGCAGCCAAGCAAAGGAAATAGAGCTAGCAAGGGAAACTGCAAGAAGCAGCTATTGGGGGTGGAAGGTGAACAGGTGGGAAGAGGGAATATGTTCTAGAAAAGACCAGAGAGGGTGTTTTCACTTGGGCAGAATGCTTCTGAACTGAGCCTCTGGGGCAGGAAGGACAATAGAGTGTTGGGCAAATGAAAGATCAGGTGGCTAGAGTTTAGTGAGTGAGGAGTAAGATGTAATAGAGTTGATTAAGATCCTGGAAGACTTTGGTAAATCTAAGGGAAATAAAATGGGCAGCTGTGGAAGGGTTTTAGGAGTAGAATACAAGATTCTGATCAAAATTTGTGTTTTAAAAAGATCACTCTGGCTATTGTGTGTGGAGAACCTTTGGTAGAGGAATTAAATAGGAAGTGGTTACTGATGGCATTAAAAGGAGTGGTATGAGAGAATGCATTAACAGTGAATGGTTGTTCTCTTTGTGGAGGTAGGTGATTCTAGGAGTAGATGGAGTCAGGAGTTCAACTTTAGACCTAGCCAGTTTGATGTACTAAGAGAGATTTTTATTTTCAGTAGCATGATACTTAGTCTTTTAATTCTAGAAACTGGAAAAAAATTTGAGGGCTTTTAAAAAAAATCTCAACTTTACTGAATTAAACAGCTATAGAACAGTTCTAAGAATTTTTAAACTAGAGGGTTGGAATTGTTTAAGGAGCTTTTAAGTATCAAAAAGTAATATACTGGCCATTATTTATGTACATGCTATTTCAGTTACAGTAGGTGGGGAATATTGAAAATACTGATGATTAAAAAAGTAAATGCAAATGACTTTATTAGTTATAAACTTGCTCCTTTAGCAAAACTAATGGCTGTTGCACCAATCTTTAAATATCTAGAGTACTACACAATCCATATAGTTTGGGGGATGATTTAAATGATGTTAATAAATTTCTCATAATAGCCCTTGGATTATGTATGTTTTTCCTATATTTATCATCTGTAAAGAAGATACTATTTCAGTTTTTACCTGTTTCAGAGATTCTTTAAAAGTATTTTAGTGGAAAGAAAATTCAGGTAGCATTATTACTTGTAATATATAAAACATTGTGCTATCAGACAGTTTACTGACTTCTATATGAAATAGGAGGACTTTGAAAAATATCCAAATTAATTTAGTATGATTTATAGCAAGTTTTTGTGATACTGATTGCATTGTGTAGTATTTAGTTTAATAATGTTTATCCTGTAGGTTCAAACTCCAGAGAGAAATAGCTATGTAACTTAAATCAGTTATAGTTATCTTCCATTTGAGTCATTGTTATCTTTTTTGGTTATCTTTAATTGCAGGACTATTCCCTGATGTGGGTGGAGGTTATTTCTTGCCAAGACTTCAAGGAAAACTGGGCTACTTCCTTGCATTGACAGGATTCAGACTAAAAGGAAGAGATGTGTATAGAGCAGGAATTGCTACACACTTTGTAGATTCCAGAAAGGTAACTGTTTGGATGTTTGTTTTGTATTGGAAGGCAGTATGTATGAGAGGTTGAGATCATAGGTTTTTGGTTGATATGGTGTGAATCCTGTACTTCTATGACCTGGGGGTAAAGTATGTAAACTTCCTAGTCCCCAGATTCCTCATCTATATCGGAGATAGACTTTTGAAAGATTCTCTTAGCTGTGAGTTTCCCTAGTGTGTTTAAAATGATTGCATTATAAAAATATAGTTTATGACTTTTCCAAAGCATATGTGCTATAAGGAATACATGTTACTTTGCCTTTTTTCTTTTTTTTTCTAACTGTGTGGCCAGTTTTCTTAGTACATGATAGCATAGTAGCAAACAGTATGATAGATAGCCTTGGTTTTAATCCTAGACTGAATTTGGCCTCTTTCCAGTTTTTCCATCTGCAAAAGGGGGATGATCATCATAACTGTTGAAACTCCTTGTGTTACATGTAGCATCAGTAAACCAGTTTGAGGTGGTTTTGCCCCAGAATTCCCAGCAAGCAACCTGGGCTTTATTCTGCTTTAACTAGTTAGTTTACACTGGCTGAATTGGATTATCTTATCTCTGAACCATATCAGTGGGTGGACTACAACGACAGCCAGTCTGTCCTATGCAATGCTCTCTATCTTTGGAGCTGTAGGGTAAAGTGTGCTTCCCGGGAAGCACGTAGTCTTCACATGAATATTGATCTTGAAGACGGTGTTTTAGGATAGGGGAAGGAAAAATTTAAAAATTAAATTTGAAAATTTGTGTTACATGTTTAGTTCAGTAACCAGTACATGGTAAGCATTCAAATTTTAACTGTATATATTTTTTAAAAGGCAGCACACACGCATACAATTTTAGAGGTGACCAGAGTTTTTCATTGAGATCTTTTACATTTCGCAGCATGTGTCCACATACTCACTTCATAGCATTCTTCTGTTTGGGGTCCTGATACCAAAGATTGCTTTGACCCTTGGACATTGTAGGAATCCATAAGGACTTTTAACAAATTATAATTCTTTAATCTCATGCATCCTCGTTGGCCTGTCAGACATTGAAGTTAAAACAGTTTGATACCATAATTGTATTGTTTTGTTGTAAATAGAATTCTTTTTATAAAGGTGATAAATTGGCAGTTTTATGTTGTCAACTTTGGTGTAGTTTCTCACACTGTTATGAATCCTGTACAATGCATGAAGTATGCAAGATTAGAGGCTGTCCCTGTGCCCAGTTATGAGGCCCTCTACCACATTTGAAATTCCAGATTTTTCCCATATTGTGAGCATCCTCCATCATGCTGAGTTGGTAGCTGTCTCTTCCTTCCCTTGAGCTGTAAAAGGAGGCACACATGGGCCCTCCATTGTCTACTCTGGAAGTGATGCCCTTATATATAGTGGACTTAGTTAAGCATAAGAGAGAAAGCTGCTTCACAACTCTTTCCCCTCTCTCCAGCTTGCCCAATGATAATATCTGCAGCAGCTACACTGCCAATCTCAGGGCACATAGAAGATAAAAAAATGAGTAATACACATTAAGGATGATGTGAAAGGAGGAAGAGCTTACCTGTAAGAAGGAACTAAAAATTTTTCAAATAGGTTGCAGTTTGCTGGTCTTAACATGAGTATTGTCAGAAAAAGGCATTCCAAATAGAATAGAATAAACAGAATGAATAAGCCATTGGGCCAGAAAACATTAGCTGTGCTTTGGAAACCGCAAAAGGTCCCATTTGGTTGTGGGTCAGGTTTCTGAGAGGTTAGAGGAGAGGTAAGAGGGCTGTGTTATTGTGACTAGAGTATCCACTAGTTATGTGGCAATTTTACTTAAAATTAATTTCTAGCTCAGATCTTTGGTTGTAATACAGATTGAGTATCTTTTATCTGAGATGCTTGGGACCAGAATTGTTTTGGATTTCAAACTAGGGATGCTCAACTTGTATCACATTTCAAGTGTTCCTCAGATTCTTCCATTTCTACCCATTCCTGTGCAGGCAACATTTGTTGTGTGGCAATGTATTTGCATTCAACTTTAGTCCACATTTCTTTCAGTGACTCAGCTTAAGAGAGAGCATCATAATTTTGCTAATAAAAATAGATAAAAAGATAGGGATTCTAAAAAAGAATAAGTGATACATTTAAAAAGCTTTCTGGCCAGGCATCATGGCTTATGTCTATAATACCAACTACTTAGGGATATCAGGAGATTAGGTTCAAGGCCAGTCCAAACAAAAAGTTAATGAGACCCTATCACAAACAAATAAACAAAAACAAGCCAGGTGTGTTAATGTGCTACTGTGGTCCCAGCTACTGAGGAGGTGGAGGTAGGATTGCAGTTCATGGCTGGGTTGGGCAAAAATGTGAGACACTATCTGAAAAATTAAAGCCTAAAGGTTTAGGGGGTTGGGGGGAAGGGCGTTGTTCAAGGATAGAGCACTAGCCTACTAAGCTTAAGGCTCTAAGTTCAAACCCTAGCACTTAAAAAAATTAATAATAACTTTCTATGTTTTTATGAAGTTTCAAATCTGTTTTCCTTTTTTCTTCTCCCCTCCTACCTTTAGTTACACATGTTAGAGGAAGATTTGTTAGCCTTGAATTCTCCTTCAGAAGAAAACATTGCACATGTCTTAGAAACCTACCATACAGAGGTACTATTGTCAATGTTCTAACCTTAGGTTTTAATTCATTGGGAAAGTAAAGTGATTAAAAAATTAGCAGTTGGTAAATTCTATAGTTTGTAGGTATAAATCGGTGTACTAGGGATTATTTACTTTAAAGCTTGGCGGGATGGTCAGCACTACTCAATTGTTGTGATAGTCAGCTGGTAAGACATCTTCTTAACGTACTTGTGAACTTCAGTTCATGGCCTTTTAGCACTTGGAAGAACTTTTTACATTGCACTGTGACATTTTTGTATCAAAGGCTGTGTTCACACTATTTGTGAGATGTTAAAGTGAAGCTCTGGTATGTCTCTCTAATAAAATATATTGCATTGTTTAATTCTTTACTTACATTATTTAACTTAAATTTTCTAGTACAAGTCATGAATCTATTCTATACAACTTCTCGTTACATATTGAATATGTGCATTTTTCTAAAACTCAACTAAAATTATAATAAAGGAATTTTTAAAAAAGTATAAATCCACAATCAAACAGATAATACAGTGTCAGACATTAGAAGGCAATATACTGGCAGCTTGAAAGCAGAAGGATCAAGCACCTAACTTAGACCTGAGAATGCTGTAGTCATCTTGCAAAGTGGGAAGCCAGTAGGATACAATCTAATTCCTGCCCTAGACTCTTCTGAAGGAATCAGGAATCTTTGAAGGCTGGGTACAGGGGTAGGGATGTAGCTCAGTAGAAAAATGTTTACCTAGCCTGCATAAGGTCCTGGGCACTGTTAAAAAGAGAACGAGAAAGACTAGAGTATGGGGTGGGGCAGAAAAACAGGAAGATTGCTTTGATTTTTATAAGAAGCAGTTAGGCCTCCAGAAGTCCTGTACATCTAGGCAAGGGCAGGAGTGGGTGAGATGCTATACTGAAAAGAGTCAGAATACACCAAACAGAACCAGTGTAGACTATCCCACTCCTAAGCAATACATTGGAAGAAAAAGAAACTCTATAGATGCTACATTCACAGACCCCTTGATCACATATCCAGGCAGTTGCCTGATCATATATAATGCATCATACAATTGATAGCTGTGGTTGACATTACATATAAATTTACTAAAGGTAAACAAGAAACAACAAGTACTAAACTTGTAAGTATAGGATGGAAGAGGTGTAATCTGTATGGCACAAGTATATATATTTCTTTTAAACAGTGTTAATTGATCAAAGGTCAGTGTAAATAGAGCTAGAGCTGGTACTTCTGGTAAAAAGTATCGTGTCCAAAGCAAAGAAGGATGTGTGGAACTCTATTGTACTTTGGTGTGATCCTGCACCACCTGCAGCTAAGTTATGTGTTCTACACTGTAAGAATGACCATGGTAAACTGGGACTTGTTCATAAAAAAAGATCTAGATTATGAGGGACACAAAATTGTACCATGTGTGGAAATGAAAGGTGATTTTATTTTTTGGCCCAAAATTAAATTTACTAGTTGTTGTAATTGTCAAGCACTTGTGAGCTTCTTCCTGAGTTGCTTTTTTTTTCTTTTTTTCGGCCACTGGAGGTCAGAGCTGCAGGGATACCAGGGATGATAGTAGGAATTTCTGGTTCTGTGGAAATTTGTCAGGATAAACTCTCAGGTCCCTCTGGGCTTATAGATACATTTAGATGATAATATATGTAATTTATATAATGACACAGAAATTAAAACACTTTCTAGACTAGAGTACTACACACTGTCTGAATTTTGAGCATATGGCAGTAGTTATTTATGAGACTGTTAGGTATAATTTTACTGAAAGTGATAATCTGTCACAAAGTACGTAATTAAATATGATGTTTTTAAGGATTTTAAGGAAATCTGAGTTGCTGCAAATTATTTCTTTTCAAACAGTCCAAGATTGATCGAGACAAGTCTTTTATACTTGTGGAACACATGGATAAAATAAACAGGTACTTAAAAAGAGATCTCAGTTATGTCTGTTTCTTTGGAAAGAATCTATTAAATTGAATTTGCTAACATTGTAATTATATTGTATTTTATAATGCACCAAATTCTGAGATCAGATAGCATAATGCTTTTATTTTTGCTTATAGTTGGAAGTGACTTCTTGCCCACTCTTTCAAAGAGAAATAATCATTATATTTAAGTAACCTTCCAAATACTAATTCATCTTAATGCAAAATGCCTTTTTTAAAAGTGAGGAGAGAAGCTAGAAAATAGTAATTAACTTTTATCTTTGTCAGATCATCTTCTCTAGAGATCTTAATAGGCCAGTCGGGAGAAGGGTTTGTGTAGTGCTTTGAGAAACTTACAGACTGGCATAAGGAAAGAAGAGTAAGTACACTGTTGGAAAATAATATATCTATCTCTCACAGTTGAGAGGTTTATTTACATTTAATTTCCATCAATGCAAGAAAGCAAAAGAAAGATATATTTTATTTTGCACTAATGATGGTAGACTGCAAACACCCTTATTCATGGAAGTAATACTCGATTTCATTTTCCTATAAGATATGTTTTGGTCTGGGGGTATGGCTTAAGTGGTAGAGTGCTTGTTTTTTAAGTGTGAAGCCATGGATTCAAACCCTGGTCCTATCAGGGAGGCAAAAAATGTGAGAATTTTGGTATAGCACCTACCTAGCAAGTATGAGACTGGAATTCAAACCCTAGTACTGCCAAAAATTATATTTTGGACTGGAGGTATGGCTCCAGCAAAGCACCTGCTATTTTTAATAGTTTTAAAAATTCCTAGGTGAAGCCTGCATTCAGATTCATTGGTGTCTTAGAAATAGACAATCACTTGCACATTGGTGAAATCATGTTTCTTTTTTTTTTATAGTTGCTTTTCAGCCAATACTGTGGAACAGATTATTCAAAATTTACAGCAAGATGGTTCACCTTTTGCTCTAGAGCAATTGAAGGTAATACATGGATCCTTTCTGCCCTATGGTAAAGTCTCAGGACAGAGAACCCTTGGAGGGTTGTCAGTGCTCCATTGGAGTGATATAGTATCTCAGAAAGTAGTTTCTCTAAATGTTGACCTAAACCCAGTTGCCATGTTGAGGTTAGAGTCAAGCTGATTTTATGTTCTTTGAATGTAACAGAGAAGGATTTTAGTAACCAATGTTTCATTTCCAAACAATCCCTCTTGTCCCATGGGGGTAGCTTTTAGGAACATTACAAGTATTGGGTGACTGAAGAATGGGTGAAGAATGGGTGACTAATGATGTATTGCAATTGTGATATTAATTTTAAATTCTGTTTAATATGCAATATGGGCTTTTAAAACAAGAAGTTTCATGAAAAAGTGATCTTATTTAAACTAGAAAGGGACTTCATCTACCCGCCATAGCTAAATCTTAAAGTGTTTCTCAGAGTCAGGGAGATTTTGATTCTTTTGTAACATCGCTGATAATAGGAGAAGAAAAGTTGTTTTGCTGTAAGTGTGTGTGCACTAGATATTGACATTCAACCTATCATAGGATTATGAAACTAGGAGTATTTCAGAATTTTAGGCAGAGGAAAGAAAAAGTATGTTTCCTTATACTTAAAACATGCTTTAGCTTGTCTTGATCTGATAGTATTTTTCTATTTGTAGGTCTAGTGACAGCATTTCAATTCTCACATAACTTACTGATAAAAAATTTTAATTTTAATTTGCCTATGAAGGTGAAAACATTTCCTCATTGCTACTGTGTTCTTAAGGGAGAATCCCAAGTAATTTTGTCTCCTAGGACCTTATCCAATATCAGAATTTTATAAATTTCAAAAACAGGTTACCTGATTCTTACCGAATAGCTAGTAGTTGTAGTGCCTTAATGCTCTGTGTGAAAGGGCCATGACTATTGCCTCTCCTGAAGTGTCAATACATAGCAGATGCTCTGTGGCATGTGTAGGATTGAGGTTACAATGCAGATCATTTGATAAAGAAAAAAGAAGCTGACTCTTCAACATATAGGAGACAACTAATTTTTTTTTCTTTTTCTTTTATTATTCATATGTGCATACAAGGCTTGGTTCATTTCTCCCCCCTGCCCCCACCCCCTCCCTTACCACCCACTCCGCCCCCTTCCTCTCCCCCCCATCCCCTCAATACCCAGCAGAAACTATTTCGCCCTTATTTCTAATTTTGTTGTAGAGAGAGTATAAGCAATAACAGGAAGGAACAAGGGGTTTTGCTGGTTGAGATAAGGATAGCTATACAGGGCATTGACTCACATTGATTTCCTGTGCGTGGGTGTTACCTTCTAGGTTAATTCTTTTTGATCTAACCTTTTCTCTAGTACCTGTTCCCCTTTTCCTATTGGCCTCAGTTGCTTTTAAGGTATCTGCTTTAGTTTCTCTGTGTTAAGGGCAACAAATGCTAGCTAGTTTTTTAGGTGTCTTACCTATCCTCACCCCTCCCTTGTGTGCTCTCGCTTTTATCATGTGCTCATAGTCTAATCCCATTGTTGTGTTTGCCCTTGATCTAATGTCCACATATGAGGGAGAACATACGATTTTTGGTCTTTTGGTCCAGGCTAACCTCACTCAGAATGATGTTCTCCAATTCCATCCATTTACCAGCGAATGATAACATTTCGTTCTTCTTCATGGCTGCATAAAATTCCATTGTGTATAGATACCACATTTTCTTAATCCATTCGTCAGTGGTGGGGCATCTTGGCTGTTTCCATAACTTGGCTATTGTGAATAGTGCTGCAATAAACATGGGTGTGCAGGTGCCTCTGGAGTAACCTGGAGACAACTAATCTTTGAAGGGTCAGGTAAATTGGAACACTGACCACTCTCTCACAAGTAAAAAAAAGTTATGTGAGTACAGAATTGAATCAATATGCATTTCTGCATAATAATCTAAGTCCTAATCATTAATCAAATTTTCCAAAATATTGGTGTGTTCCCTTCTTAATGATTGAAGCAATAGCATATGAGCTCTGTGAGCTCTCTTCATATTCTCTTTGATTCCTCTAACACGTTTCGTACTTCTTTGCCAAGGGAAACATCCCCATCTGTGCTCTCATTCCATCCACTATGAGTTAACTGTATTAGTCATTTCCCTTTTCAGTATCTTCAATTTTACCTTCTTGAGTTACTAGAACATCTTATTTTCTATTCTTTTACCCCTAAAAAAAAGGTTTAAAAGTCTGCCTTTGCCCCTGTTTCCCCTCAAGTTACCTTACTTTGTCTTTCTCCTTGCCATCAAAATTACCCAAAAAAGTTCTAGGTCACTTCTTTTACCTGATGTGGTGTCCTCTTTCCCATCCTTTTGCTTATTGACTTCTTTTCAGCCGTTGACATTTTCTGACACATTTATAGCTCTGCATAGTTAAAGGAGGTAGACTTTGGATTCCAGCTCTTTGCCTTTCTTTGTGACCTTGGATAATTCATGTCAGGGCCTGCTTCCTCATCTATAAAAGGGACATACCACCTCTTTTCCATAGTGTGATTGAGCATGTTAAAGTGCTACTCTGAGAGCTGAGATAAATGTGCTCAGTAAATATTCCTTCTTTTCCCAGTTTTGCTAGGTTTCTGACAGATTGTACTATCTGTACTACCTTGCTGTCTGTGAGGCAAGCAATAGTATCACCATTTTACAAACAAGGACATGATCAGTTATCCAGGAAGCAGGATGTTAATCTTTATGCTAAATTGCCAGCATACAGAGTTGCTGGAAACTAAGGACCCTTGGGTTGTGAGTATACCATTTTCTTCCTTGATATCTCATACAAAGATATCTTTTGATAGTTAATATTTAATGAGATGTCTGAATGAACAGAACACTTTGAATGAGGTTTTCTTCCCATATTTGTGTATGTGTGACAAGCATGGATAAATGGGGCCTCTGAGTGGCCTTTGTTTTTGTGAAATTAATTGGTAGTCAGTCAGCAGAGAAAGTATAACAAGAGACTATTTTTTGTTTTTAAAAATCCAGCTGGAACCAAGATACAGAAACCATAAGCAGTGAACTATAATGGGTAGTGCTGAGGAATAACTGTGGCTCACCCACTATAACACTGTTGGTAAGGGAATTGCAGCTTTTGTCACCTTGCAGATTAGAAAAGCCAAAAGGTGGCTATGTTGTTCCCATAAATATACCTTTTAGCAATGTGAATGAGGTTCTTCCAAGTTTTCACCTGAGATGATGGGGGTTTTGCTCCCACTAAAGATTATTAGTGGATCTTTCAGCAAAATGAACCTGTGGTCTGCTAGCAAAAGGAAAGTCCTTAGCAGTGTGCAGGCTGCTGTGCAGAAGTCTTCATCTTCATAGTCTGCAACCAGAGAATCAGGAACATGAAGTAGGGTTGCTTTCAGGGCCAGTCTGTGGGCTCATGTCCATAAAGTGCCTTGCTCAGAAGACTGAATTCCTTTGAAGAACCGTCCATAAAAACCCTTACTTGTTTGTTTTCCCTTCAGCAGCACAGTGGCTGCAAGTTGTTACTGATCTTCCCTAAGCTTTTCTAGCATCAGTTCTGGTAGTGCTAAGGAACATACTGTTCTACCCACTCAGTCTCTTCCTTGAATCTGTTTGCCAGACTCAGGATGCTGCAAAGAACATGGAATCATTTTCGGGGTTGGAGGATGGTATTGGGGTTTTGAACTCAGGGCCTCATGCTTGCTAGGCAGGCGCTCTACCACTTGCGCTATGATCCCAGCCCTTTTTTGCTTTAGTTATTTTTCAGATTGGGTCTCATGCTTTTGCCTGGGTCCAGCCTCAGACTGTGATCCTCTTACCTATGCCTCCCCATACCTGCGACCACAGATGTGCACCACCATGCCCAGCTTGTTTGTTGAAATGGGGTCTTGCTAACTCATTGCCTGGGCTGGTCTCGATCTGCATTCCTCCCAATCTCCACCTCCTGAGAGCTGGGATTACAGGTGTGTGCCACCATGCCTGGCCCCTAGAACATGGAATCTTTTTTTTTTTTAATTCATATGTGCATACAAGGCTTGGGTCATTTCTCCCCCCTGCCCCCACCCCCTCCCTTACCACCCACTCCGCCCCCTCCCTCTCCCCCCCACCCCCTCAATACCCACCATAAACTATTTTGCCCTTATTTCTAATTTTGTTGAAGAGAGAGTATAAGCAATAATAGGAAGGAACAAGGGTTTTTGCTGGTTGAGATAAGGATAACTATACAGGGCGTTGACTCACATTAATTTCCTGTGCGTGTGTGTTACCTTCTAGGTTAATTCTTTTTGATCTAACCTTTTCTCTAGTTCCTGGTCCCCTTTTCCTGTTGGCCTCAGTTGCTTTTAAGGTATCTGCTTTAGTTTCTCTGCGTTAAGGGCCACAAACGCTAGCTAATTTTTTTGGTGTCTTACCTATCCTCACCCCTCCCTTGTATGCTAAAGCTTTTATCATGTGCTCAAAGTCCAATCCCATTGTTGTGTTTACCCTTGATCTAATGTCCACATATGAGGGAGAACATACGAGTTTTGGTCTTTTGGTCCAGGCTCACTCAGAATGATGTTCTCCAATTCCATCCATTTACCAGTGAATGATAACATTTCGTTCTTCTTCATGGCTGCATAAAATTCCATTGTGTATAAATACCACATTTTCTTAATCCATTCATCAGTGGTGGGGCATCTTGGCTGTTTCCATAACTTAGCTATTGTGAATAGTGCCGCAATAAACATGGGTGTGCAGGTGCCTCTGGAGTAACCTGTGTCACAGTCTTTTGGGTATATCCCCAAGAGTAGTATTGCTGGATCAAATGGTAGATCAATGTTTAGATTTTTAAGTAGCCTCCAAATTTTTTTCCAGAGTGGTTGTACTAGTTTACATTCCCACCAACAGTGTAAGAGGGTTCCTTTTTCCCCCGCATCCTCGCCAACACCTGTTGTTGGTGGTGTTGCTAATGATGGCTATTCTAACAGGGGTGAGGTGGAATCTTAGTGTGGTTTTAATTTGCATTTCCCTTATTGCTAGAGATGGTGAGCATTTTTTCATGTGTTTTTTGGCCATTTGAATTTCTTCTTTTGAGAAATTTCTGTTTAGTTCACTTGCCCATTTCTTTATTGGTTCATTAGTTTTGTGAGAATTTAGTTTTTTAAGTTCCCTATATATTCTGGTTATCAGTCCTTTGATGTATAGCTGGCAAATATTTTCTCCCACTCTGTGTGTGTTCTCTTCAGTTTAGAGACCATTTCTTTTGATGAGCAGAAGCTTTTTAGTTTTATGAGGTCCCATTTATCTATGCTATCTCTTAGTTGCTGTGCTGCTGGGGTTTCATTGAGAAAGTTCTACGAACTCCAGAGTATTTTCTGCTCTTTCCTGTATCAACTTTAGAGTTTGTGGTCAGATATTAAGATCCTTGATCCATTTTGAGTTAATCTTGGTATAGGGTGATATACATGGATCTAGTTTCAGTTTTTTGCAGACTACTAACCAGTTTTCCCAGCAGTTTTTGTTGAAGAGGCTGCTATTTCTCCATCGTATATTTTTAGCTCCTTTGTCAAAGACAAGTTGGTTATAGTTGTGTGGCTTCATATCTGGGTCCTCTATTCTAGAACATGGAATCTTGAAATAGGGAATTCCTTGAACTCATAAAGTAAAATTTAAACTTTTGAGATAGTCATTCAATAAGAAGCCTAAAATTATGCTGCAATATAATGGAAAGCACAGGCATCAGATGTACACAGCATGTAGTGGGCCTCTTGCATCAGCCAGGAGTTCACAATCATAAACATGTTGTGGAACACTAGCAATAGAATATTTAAATTCAAAACAGGTAGAACAGTGATGTAGTCAAGGAGTCAGGTACATCATTTTTATTCTGTTAAATATTTAAATACTATGGAAAAGTACCTCATAGTAACAGAAGTTGTTTTCTTCCAAGGTAAGTAGATTTATTTATAAGTAAAGAGCTCAATTCAGTAAGACACTTCTCCAGAGTCATGTGGTGGGAAGTGAAGACTACTGCCTTTCTGTTCTTTCACTTTCTTTACTTTGTAAGATAAAGTGTTCTCTGTACCTGTCAGTGATGTGTAATGTGTGTATTAACTTCATTTAGGCATAATCGCTGCTGACTTAACTAGTTGAGATTATAATTTACGCCAGGCAAACTCCAAATACAGATTTTTTTTTTAAAGTTATAGGTAAAGAATTCACTTGTGTGGAATGATCTGTTTTCTTTTTTGTACCGATTAGAAAGCATTTGTTTGGTGCTGTGGCAGGATGAGACTAAGGTATTATCTTTTATGAGACTTTAACCTAACAGAGTAACTTTAAAGAGCATATTTTACTATGACCTATGTAGAAATTCAGCTACTTTATTATAGTCAATAAATGAACTGTTGGGATACAACTACTAATTTTTTTTCCAAAGGTCATTAACAAGATGTCTCCAACATCCCTAAAGATCACACTAAGGCAACTCATGGAGGGGTCTTCAAAGACCTTGCAGGAAGTATTAACTATGGAATATCGACTAAGTCAAGCATGTATGGTAAGATTTTTAAAAAATATGTTGTTTTCTAGAAAAATATATTGTTTTCTAGTTAGGAAAGTAATATATCTTCATTGTAGAACATGTAAAATACTGAAAAGGATAAACAAAAACTTAAAATTGCCTGCAAATCTTTTTTATGAAAACAAACAGGCCAGTTAGCTTTACATGTTTAGAAATATTGCCACCCAGATTATTGTGAAGCCTTTATGAAATATCAGTTATATTTGTCTATAAGTGTATGAAGGCCTCTAACTTCATGTGGAATTCAGAATAGAAACTAACCATTTATCAGGTATAAGCCTATGACCTTGGACAAGAAACAAAAAATATGAGTTTCATCATTGGTAAAAAGGAATATTACTTATAAGCAGGCATATATGTATATATACTTCCATTTGTATACAAATGGAAGTCATTAGTCTGCACGTGTTTTCATTGATAGATTAGCATTAAAAGTTCCATTGTAAATATAATTACTAATTGCAGGGAATGTTGATTTCATGAAGCATTTCAGAGTCATACTTCTTTTTCCATATGATAAACTTTTTAAAGGCAGAATAATCCTACATGTTCAGAGGATCCTTAAAAAGCATCATATTCTTTAGATTAATAAATTTAAGGTCAAAAGGGAATATTTGGTTAACCAGAAGTCAGACATTCCTAATGAACTTGGTGCCTTAAAATAGTTATTAAGATATAGAAAGAAGATCATCTAATTAGAAATAAAGCTCTTTTAGTCTTTAAAGCTTTCAAAGTCATTCCTTGGAGGATGTCAAGGGCAGCTGAAGTCCCTTAAGTATTTATTGTGAGCAGGTGCTCTGCAGAGCACTCCATTAAGTCTGACACAGACTCTGGAAAGATGTATACTATTATCCCCACTTTACAGATGAGAAAATTGTGGCATAGAGAAATAACCTGCCTGAGATTGTGCAGAAACGAGGCATGCGAAACCAGATGGTGTTTTGGCTAGTAGCCTGTATACCTGACAGAATCCATGTTTTTCACTGTACTTCCAGTGGGCTCCTTACATAGATTGATCCACCTCCCTCCCTTCCCAAATGTTACTGTGTAGTAGGCATTGTGTTTGTTTATTGAATAAGGAGACACAATCCTTTGTTTTCATTGAGTTAGTCTGCTGAATAACAACAAAATAACTATAAATATAGTAAATGCTCTAAACAAACCATATAGGATTGGAAATAAAAGAATGACACAGGGACAGGAGGGAGCTGGCAAGGCAAAGGTAACCTCACGTGTGACAAAGAATAAGAATTTTTGTGTGTGTGTGGCACTAGGGTTTGAACTCGGGGCTCACACTTGCTAGGAAGGTGCTCTCCCACTTGAATCACTCCATCAGACCTTATTTGTGTTTTTTTTTTTTTTTCAAGATAGAGTCTTGCAAACTATTTGCCCAGGCTGGCTTTGAATCTCAATCCTCCTGATCTCTGCCTCCCAAGTAGCTAGGATTACAGGTATGATCCATCAATGCCTGGCTGAGACATGAGAATTTTGAATAGCCTGTTGGTTTTTAGCAGAGGATGACTTAATTTTTCATTTGATTTCATTTGTTTTAAGTAGGTTGCTAGGTGGAGATAGTGTCGGAGGGGTTCAAGAGAAGATATGGAGATCAGATAAGAGTATAGTGTAGTGATCCAGGTGCAAACTAGGAGGGATTTAGAATAGAGAGAAGGAAATGGATTTGGGACAAATGTAGGAGATAGAATTGATAGGATGTGGTGATGGATAAGGAGGGAAAGGAGGTGTTAGCAGTTGGAGCTTACAGATATGGGCTACAGATTTAAATCTGAACGACAGTAACACCCCTTTAAAAAAACAAAACCTTTGGGAATCTATTTACTCTACAAATAAATGTGTTACTGATGCTAACCATAGGTAGACAAAATCCCTGTCCTGGTGGAATTTATCTTAGAGTGGGGAAATAGACTTGTTAATAAGATAAATACAGAAATATGTATCATCTGATTGTAAATATTAAAGGAGAAAAATAAAGCCAGGAAGGAAGAGAACATAAAGTGATGGGGAGGGGTCGAATTGTAGATGGGATGACCAGTGAAGATCTAACTGAACTGTTTTCTGAGTGAAGACCTAAAGGAAGTGAGGAAGCAAGCCTGGCAGATATCTGGAGAAACAGCATCCCAGGCAAGGAAAACTGAAAGTGCAAAGCTCTAAGGCAGGAATGTGCATGGCTGTGCTAGGAAGAGCAAAGAGGCCACATGGGAGGTGTGGAGGGCATGTGGTAGTGAGTGAGAGATGAGGCACAGGAAAGGGCCTTGTGGAGCACACAGAACCTTAAAGATTTAAGGACTTCGGCTTTCGTTCTGATGAAAATGGGAAGGCACGAGATGGTTTTGAGCAGAAGAGTGCTATAATCTCACATTTAACAGATTCCATCACTCAGGCTGACGTGTTGAGCACTGAATGGGTAGGGTCACATAGAAAGAAAATGGAAGAGCCCAGTTTTGGACCCCAAGAAAATCTACCATATTGGGTTGAGGTACAGAAAGTACAGTAGGAAGAGGGGAAAAAAAAAAAAAGCACAAGAAGTAGAGCCAGGAGAATAGGCTGTCACACAAGCAAGAGAGGAATGTTTGAACTGGGGTGTAGCTCACAAGTAGATTATTTGCCTAGCATATGAAGCCCTGGTCTTGATCACCATCACTGAAAAAAGTGTTTGAAGGTGTAGAGTATAATGAACTCTTTCAAGTACTGCCAAAAGGTCCGGCAGATGAACTTGAGAAATATCATTTGAATATGGTGACACTGAAGCCATAGGTGGTTTTGGCAAGCAATGTCAAAGAAATGGTGGAGATAGACCTTACAGTGCAATAAATTGGAGAGGAAATGAGTAGATAGGATATGTAGAGGTAGAGAAAAAATGTGTATACAACTTTTTCTTCTTGAAACAGAAATAGGTAGATATTCGGATTCTCATTTTATTTTGTAAGATGGAAGATATTAGAGCATGTTTATAAATGATTGGGAATGATCCAATAAAGAAGAGATTATATTAATGATAATAATAGCAAATACTTAGTCCATGCCAGACACTGTGCTGGGATGTGGATTAAAATAATCCTATGATGGATGTATTGCCATTTCACAGAAGGAAGGAAACTGGGCATTAGAAGAATTACTAGCCAAGGCAACAGTCACCATGTAGTAGAACCAGGACATGAATCCACATATTTGAACTGGCTGTACTCAGCCACTCAGTTATGCTGACTCCATTGATGACACCAGGAGAACAGAGAAGTGGATGACCTCATGTAAGGCTCCTGAGAGGGTTAAAGGGAATATGAACTGGAATGCAGGGCCCTGCAAGAGGAATGGTCCTTTCTTCCCCAGTCAAGAAGAGAAGGCAGATATAGTGCCATAGTTGGCTGCAGGTGTTTTAATGGTGTGAATATAAGAAAGTTCTTGTCAGAGGGCTTTGTTAAATGAAGGATGGTAAACCATTAGATGAGAATGAGAGTATTCACTGGGGTAGAGGCTGAGAAAGCAGAAAATACCTTGGGAAGTAGAGGAGAGATCGTGGATTCCATGCCCTAATTTTAAATGAAATCACTCACAGTTGTATGATTTTCTACAGCAAGATTAAGATGGAGGGCTCAGCTGTTGTGAGGAATTTGTAAGGACAGTATAAGAGAGAAAGGATTTGAGTCTTCCCAGTGAAAGTGACCATATTAATGGCCTGGGGAAACTGGACTGGGTGAAAAGGAAAGAGAAGCCAGCACAAGTGAGGAGAGGCAGTCACAGGATCAGCAGACCTCTTAAGGATCAAGAGTGTGTAGCAGCAGACATACCTGAATGAAAAAGATTAGGAGGTGGTGATCAGAAAGTAGGGATAAGAGGTGGGCCAAGCTCTGAATGTCATGGCTCAGATTGTGGTTATGGAAGTGAGGCTGAAGTTGATGGGGGAAGAGAGAAGATCGTCAGGAGTAAGGATGCCTAGAAATTACCCATTTAATCTCTATTTTCTTTCAGGAAGGTCATGACTTTCATGAAGGTGTTAGAGCTGGTAAGTGACAAACACATTTCCTTCTTGGCTGTTGGGGAAACAATTTGTGAGCATAACATTATAGGTTGTAGTTTTATTAGTAACATTAAACTTTCATAAAGATTGCAAAGGGTGTGTGTGTGTTTTGTAAAATACAACCATCTGGAATATAAGAAAATCAGTCTTTGACACTAATATTATTCTTAAAATTCGTACAAGTTGGTCTCTGCTCCTTAATTTCTATGTAAGAGGCAGTCCTGCTTCTGCAGTGATATGGGCTGACTTGGAAGCTTCTGAATTCAGCCTGCCAAGATTTTGGAAAGGTGCATTTATTTCCCACTAAAAAGTCTCTATTCTTCCCTTTCCCCTCTTTTGTACTGTCCTGGGACAGTGAACAATGGTCAAACCCTACCGTCTACCTCTTTGCCTGTTTCTGAGCAGTTAGACATTGCTGAGAAAAACATAGTACATTATACTCTCCATTTTTGCTTATCATCTCCAGTGTCAGCATACTTAGAAAAAAAAGCAAATTAAATGATTTTTCTTTCTCTAGCAAACTTGCAACAGTTCTTTTTTTTTATGGACAGTCTTTATCTCTATAAAGAGCTGTTATTTGTTGTATAAATTGAGTTGTTTTTTTCTGCATGTATTTTGCTTATCTGTGTGTGTGTGTGTGTGTGTGTGTGTGTGTGTGTGTGTGTGTGTTACTGGGGATTGAACTCAGAGCTTTGCACATGCTAAGCAAGTTACTCTACTACTGATCTCCCCCCCAGCTCTTGGCTTGTTGAGACAGGATCTCATTATATAGCTCAGGCTGGCCTTGAACTCCATTCTACCTCTGGGTGCTGGGATTACAAGCATGCATTAACATGCCTGGCCAATTTTCTTATGTTTTATTAATTGTTTTAATATAGTACATACTCTTTTAGCATAGTCTTTATTCAGAAAGAACATCTGTTCTGGGTAAAACTGTTTAGTGTTCTTGCTCCAGTTTGCTAACTATAAAAATATGTTAGCAAATCAGATAAAATAAGTTAGCAGATTAGGGAAATGGCTGTTAAACATTCTTACTCCTAACATCTAGAATAAACCCCTTTCTTGTTATAGAATGGATGGATTATCTTAGTAGAGCTCAGTAGCTACCAAATGGAGCTTGAGTGGGTATCTCAGGAGACCTGAAAAACCTGAGCTGCCCACATTGCAAGAATTTAAGTTATATCTATTCTAAGAAAAATGTTTTGTTAGCTTAAAAGAAAAACAGCACACAAGATTAGGTTAGTATTTCTTTTCTATCATCCTTCAGTGGAATCTGAAGGAGGTAGATAGTACTGGACAGAAGGCTTAAAGGGGAAGAGATTCTCATGGAAAGAATGACCCAGGAGTGTTTGTAGTTTTCAGTATCTGTGGAATATAAAATTCAAATTGGTTAGAGATCAAAACACCATAGTAGACAGCCAAACCTTAAAAACCTCCTGTGTGAAGTTGGGTATGGTGGTAACAACCTGTAGTCTCAGCTACTTGGGAGGCAGAAGCAGAAGAACTAGATGAATCCACCAGTTTGAGACCAGCCTGAGAAATGTAGAGAGACTCCATCTCAAAAACAGAACAAAATAAAAGCAAAACATCTCTCTAATATCCGGATTTAATTGCGTATAAAGCTTCCTTCCCTTCCTGCCCATGTAGCCTTCTCCTTGGTTTCCAGGCTGTTGCTGCTTTAACCTTTTAATGCTTAAGTTAGCTTTTTCCAGTTATCAGTATAGTTTATGTATTTAAGATTTCCATTCTTCACTAAAATTACGGATATTTTAAGTGTGGTTGAAATAGAGGAGATGAATCAATTAGGGTTATAATAAATATACACATGGAAATGTCACAAGGAAACTCCCTGTGTAATTAATTACTTTAAACAAAAATGTCACTTTTTTTTTCCTCTTTCAAAATTGGATAACAGGAGGGCAGAACATGTCCTGGGGTCAGGGCAGGGGGCGGATTGGTTCCAGTGGGAGGGGTGAGGAGGTGAGGAAAGGGCATGGGAGGGTGAATATAGTGCAAATACTATATATACATATATATAAATGGAAAAAAAGATACCTGTTAAAACTGTTCCAGGAATGGGGCAGAGGAGGATAAAGGAGAATGATGGAGGGGGTGAATTCAAGTATGATATATTTGATATATTGTAAGAATTTTGTAAATGCCACAATGTACTCCCACCTAGCACAATAAAAAATCAATTAAAGAAATTTGCTACCCACAACTATACTTTTAAAACTTTTTTAGATAATTGTAGAGTCATATATATTTGTAAGAAATAATATAGAGATCCTGCATACCCTCCACCCACTTTCCAAATAACATTTGTATAAATATAGTATAAACCAGAACTATGGTATTACAACCAGAAAATGGGCATTACTCTTTTCTATTTTTAAGAGGTTACAGATTACCTCACACTAAATCCTATGGGAATATTATGTAGCTACAACAAGTGATGACTGCACTGAAAAAGGAGAAGTAAAAGGTTTCATGATAAACCTTACAGTGGTCTGATATTTTAATTCACAGCTGTCTGAGCTAGAGGATTTGCCTGAACAACAGTATCCACATTTAATTAGGCATAAAGTCCCCTTCCCTCTACCTTAAGTGATTGATTTTTCCTCCCCGAACCAAACCAAATGTGCTGGAACTTAAAAGGCAGATCTGGGCCCTCCACCCTCCTTTACTTTTCCCTTAAACTGTACTAGTGCTAGAGTTAACTTTTATAACATGGAGATTTCATTTATTATTTTGTTTGAAGAAAGCATTATTAAAGCTAGAGATGTGAAGCTCACCCTAGCTGTCCAGCCACATTCTTTGAGGGTTCAAGTTAGAAGAAAAGTAGAACACAAAGAAAAATATTGCAGGAAAAAAATGTGCTATAGCAAAATCTGCCTAGTATAAGATAATTTCTTTTAATACATTGATTAAAATCTGATACCAGAAAGAAATGTACTAACATCTTTTTTTTTTAAACAGTTTTAATAGATAAAGACCAAAGTCCAAAGTGGAAACCAGCTGATCTACAAGAAGTTACTAAAGAAGATGTGAATAATTATTTCAAGCCTCTGGGAAGCAATGACCTGGAATTCTGAGGTGGCCAGCCCTTTAAGGTATATTTTGGAGCAGGGATTGGCAAACTACAGCATGTGACCCCCATCTGGTTTTTATGCAGCCTACATGATAGGAGCGGTCCTTCCATTTTTAAATTATTGAGAAAAGAAATCAAAGACCAGTATTTCATGACATGTGAAAATTACATGAAATTCATATATCAGTGTGCAGAATTAAAGCTTTATTATAACGTAGATGCACTCATCTGTTTACCTGTTATCTGTGGCTGCTTTGAGTTGAGTAGCAAAAACACAGATTGTACAGCCTGCAAAGCTTGAAATGTTTACTTTCTGATTCTTGTTGGGAAACGTTTGCCAATCTCTGTTTTAGAAGATGGGAAAATTCAAGGTCTCTACAGATCCTTGAGTTATTATATCTAATTGACATGGGAACTTTATATTTGGTTTTCAGTGGTTTATATGCTTATTAAACAAACTTAAACATATGTTACCAAAAATAAAATCTGGGGGGGATATTATGTTAATGTCTCAGAATTTTCTTCTTTATATGAGTGTATTTTAAAATAATTGAGTCACTATAGCAGAAGTGTTCCCTTTTATAAAGATTAAAAATCTCAGGGCTGCCAGAGTGGCTCAATTGGTGAAATGTCTGATTGCAAGCATGTGGCCCTGAGTTCAAACTCCAATACCTACCCCCACTCCAGAAAAAAAGATTAAAAATCTCCAATAAAGAGAAAAAAGGTTTTATGAAGTTATCCAGTATGTTAACTCAGTGTTGGCATTCTCCAAAGTAATCAAAATACCTTCCTCTAATAAAAATGAACTCATTATTTCTTGTTACTTTTAATCTTTGTTAATTTGACAGAATGAGGAATTATGAAACTCCAGTCTCTTAAGAGATACTGTTTTTTTGCAATTTATATTAAACTTTTGAATGATAATGGTTAAAAACATAAATATCTTCAATAAGAGTATTTGAAGCTATGCAAGAAAGTACAAGGTATTTCAGATGAAGGACCTTACAATGCTAGGTAAGAATAATTCTTACATTAAAGGTTATTTTATTTATTTTGCATCTTGTTATAGTTTCTCCTTCATCTCAGACCACTCAGAAACTACTTGAGGAGTGTAAGAACAAAAAGACAACAGAATTGAAAAGGACGTCAGAGATTATGTCCTACGCAGAAGATACTGCTTTAAATGTTCTCAATTCTTAATCTATTTAACATGAAGAAACTTCCAAAAAATTCAGGAACAAATCTGATATTCCTCAAGATCCTAAATTAGATCTTAATGATTTAAGAAATTGTTTGTATAAATGGATTTCTTCTTACTTTACACGTTAGCAATACAGAATGTTAAGTCCTGTGGGTTTTTTTTTTTTTTTTTTTTGGCAGTACTAGGGTTTGAACTCAGGGCCTCACTCTTGCTAGACAGTTGCTCTATCACTTAAGCCACTTCCCCAACCCTCAGTCATTTATTTTTAAAAAGGTCAACGTATACATACTGAAAACGGTTTGCTTCAATTAAGTGAGAAATCACAGCTAGCTAATTGTAACTGGCCTTTTATTAATAATAGTTACTAAAAAGTCACAAAAAATACTTGGAAAAAACACACCACTTCATAGCTAATTCTTACAGCAAAGAAAATTTGCTAACAAAACTTGAGATTTTGAATCAAAATGCAGGTACTTCTTCAGTATCAGTGCTCTGGGCTCCAAAGAAGTCATTTATTTGTCATTTGAAGACTGGATGAGGGCATTTTGATTAACAATATATTTATTAGAACTTTGTTTTTAAATTACCATTTCTTGACATTATTTGTAATGTGCTTTGATTTCTAAAATCATGTAATACAAAAGTATATACTTCTGCCTCATCTCATAAAATGCCAATGACATTGACTAGGATAGAAGCGTCATTCTATTCCTGTGTGTTTATTTTTACTACTTGTAAGGCAGTTTGACACAAATTATTCCTTTAAGAACTAAGATAGTAATTTGTCACCTTCAAAATTGTGCTTTAAGTGCTAATAACCATTGGCAGTTTGCAAAGAACCGATAAGGCAACTAAACAAGGAGAATTCTAGGATCAAAGGCCTGTAATTTAAAGATAACAGTACAAAAGAGAACTGAGGAAGGAAGCAGTCAATGTGTCTTTGTAAATAACACTTCCTCTGGTCTGCCACCTGGAGCTGCTTGTGCTGGTGGAGGTCCCTCTGCCCTGCCACTAATGTTCCAAATGTTTCCCTTTCAACTAGCTAGTACTTCTTTCAGTATTCTATTTTATAGGTCTCCTTTCTTCCCAGTCTACTTCTTTTTCATGAAAGAACTTCAGTGTGAAGAAAAGCCAATGTCTGAACATAAAATCAGGAAAGCTAATTATCAAAGATGTTCTCATTGTTTTCAAGGCCAAACCGTATCCTGAAACTGTGAAATGTAGTATAAATTTTGTTTACTCAGCTCTTTCCTTTTCCCACCTGGTTTTAACTGCTGAGTATGTGAGCCTTGTTTATGGGCTAATACAATATACAACATATATTGCAAAGTCTCTTGGAAGATATTATATATGTCATACCCTAACAAAATATGACTCGGGGCAAGGGGGTGGTGCTCAGTGATAACTTGTCTCACTGTAGTTGCTGACCTCTTGCTAGAATGTGAAACTGGCCCTCATCCCTTTTACACTCCTGGGAAATCAGAGCAGAACAAAGAAGGAACATGAGCTTAAAACATTTAGATAGAACCCAACACTAGTCTCTGTCCCTATGTATGTTGAAAAATTTAGTGTGACCTGCTGCTTTATATGGCTTTGTGTTCTCCCCAAGTACATATTATTTTATATACACAGTTACATCTTTTGAGTAGCAAATGATCTTGGAAGCAAAAGTGAGCTGAAATACAATGAATGAAAACAAGAGTCTACTCTTTTATCTTAGTTATTAGTCAGAACATTCAAAACCCTAAACTTCATGAGCGAGAAATATGTTGTGTACATATGAAAAGCTTGTGCCTTCTATTCTGTGCTTGGCCTTATGACTCAGATCCTAGTATGAACAGGAGTGGTCATCTCTATTATGTAGGTTGCTAGATTGCAAGTATGGTGGAACAGTTCAAAGCCTAGGGCTCAGTGAAATTAAAATGGAGTGATCACGTGTCAAAAAGCAACTGAAAGCACTTATTTTAATTATCTTTTTCTTTGCTCATGGAACTTGGAGAATTCACTATTTGATTGAGGGCTTCAAAGTAATATTTTTAAAATTGGATGTAGCTTTTCTGCCTGCATGCAAAACCAAATGCATATTTATCTCATTAAAGAGATATGCAAGCCTTTTTCTGCCTGCCTTTAGATCTCAATGACACTGGTGTATTATCATAATAAAAGGATCTAGCATAAATGGGCTAAATTTCCTTTTGAATAAACTCATTTTGTAGCAAATCTTGGTAAAAAGATCATTCTAGAATCTCAGTTCCATTTTTTTCCTACAAGTTCTGTCTTTTCAGTATTTTTCTCTCTCTCTCCCAAATATTATGTTACTATTGATCTTTACCAGTACTTAATTCTTCAATTAAAAAGTCTGTGGCCTGTAATCCTAGCTACTCAGGAGGCAGAGATTAGGAGGATCGTGGTTCAAAGCCAGCCTGGGCAAATAGTTTGTGAGAGCCCCGTCCGTCTTGGAAAAACCCATCACAAAAGAGGCCTGGTACAGTGGCTAAGGGTGTAGGCCCTGAGTTTAAACCCCAGTACCTCACAAAGAAAAAAAAAAAGTGTGGGTGGTATGACAGTATTAAAAAAAAAAAAAACACACCTAACTTATGAAAATAGTGTAATACATGACAAAAATCAACACATGAATATTACCCTTGCAGGAGTGTTGTATTTTGTTTTGTAACACAACTGCAAATCTTCATGTATTGTCTGATCCCACAGTAATCTGAATGATGATTCACCACAAAATTGCTGGGAACAAGTACCCCCTGTACCAGCATCTCTGAACAGTAAAGCTTCACAGTTAACCCTGGCAGGCTCTGCTTTATATCTTGCAGACCAGGCTTGGTTTTTTTTGGCAGTAATGGGGCTTGAACTCAGGGCCTCACACTTTCAAGGCAGGTGCTGTACCACTTGAGCCATTCCTCCAGACCCAGACCAGGCTTTTGTTATTTTTTTAAAGGTACTTGAGGGCTTAATTCAATATAATAAACAATGTCATAACTTCTGTAAGTTGTATCTTTTTAAGATGGCTTTAAATGCGAAATCTAAGTCATCTAATAATAGCTGTTGTTAGGGCCTGAGGCTCAATGTGGTAGTTATGTTTTTCATCTACAAAAATAAATCCTTCATTCAGAATAGGGTTCAGGATGGACCTCTTCTACACAGGTGGTTTTCTAATCCTAGGTCATTGATGTCAAGAAGTGGGGATCTTTGACACAAATGGTTTTGACAAACAAGGCCCATGGGGGATCACCGTGGCTTGAGAGCCATTTCTTTACCAAGGCATTTTGAAAAAACCCTTTGCATGTCTGGGTTTTTTTGGTATAAATTAACAGAAATAGTTATTTTAAAGGCAATCCTTTAACCATGTGGAACTTGGGGCACTTTTTTTTCTTTGGTGATGCCATGTATGACATACTACCGATAGAGTGCCAAAGGACCTTCATCCAGCCCTTCCATGGCCAGAATTCAAACTGAGCAAATACAAATTGCTGCTAACTTATAACTGCTTAAAGCACATTTCATCTTAGGTATTCCTACACTAGTGACATTAGCATAGATGTGTTTTTACATCCAGATGGAGTTATTTGCACTTACTCACACCAGGTTTTGCTTTCGTCTTATGTATTTGAACTAGCACCAACTACATGGAAAGTTCAAGGAAGTGTCATTAACCTACAGTGTCAGGGCCCTCAGTCTCAATGTAGGGAATGTCATAGTACTTGATGTTATTGCGTGCCCACTGCTGCAAGGCGTCACGAAGGATTTCCTGGGACAGGCGCTCTGCATATTCAGTGACCTCAGCACTGGGCATTGGGGGTTCCTTCACTTCCTCTCGGACGGTGCCTGGAGCAGGTATCCTAGGTAGAAAGCTGTCTTCTGGCAAAAAGGTTTCTTCGCTGTCATGTTGTTTCTCAGTCTCAAATGTGGTAGGAAATGGGAAGGTTTGCTTTGATTTCATGCAGCCCATGTTAGCACTTTGGCTGAGTGAAGGAAAGCAGTACTAGCAAAGACTACTTCAGCATCTTTGGAAAACAATGAAGGTTGACCACGTGATGTTGACCAGGGCTTTCCCTCTCCAGGCCACTTCTGTAATCAATGTCCCCTTTCACCACTCTTCACATGTGTTGTTTGTCTGTCAAGAGAAGGGAGTTTTCATTTTCAAGTGCAAAATAAGATATGACTCATTGACATATAGTAGAAACATTGTAACAAGTTTTTGCTTTTGTTTTCCCCCTTCACTATGGTCACTTGTAGGAAAAATTAGGTAATAGCAAACAGCTTTCTATTATTAACTGAAGGGAAAAAAACCTAAAACTAAAAAGAGTTAAACCTTTGCTAAAGTATTTTGGAACACAGCCATGTTCATTTGTTTATGGATTGTTGATAAACATGCTAGCAATGGCAGAATTAAATAGGTGTGACAGACTGTGTTCCACAAAGCCAAAGATACATACCCTCTGGCCCTTTATTAAAGATGTTTGCCTACCTATGATCTTTACTGTCAAATGAAACAAACAGCAAAATATGAACCTGCCACAAACTTCAGGAGTAGCGCCTCTTGGCCTACTGTTAGAAACAGGCTTTATCCCCTGGTCAGATAATTTCGACTCAGGGAGTCACAGAGAATGCTGGTCTCTATATTAGTGCCAACTCCAAACAACACAGGTTACACATAGCAAAGCCACCTTTTTTTCTTCTTAAATACTCCCTATAAAAAGCTCAGATTAGTTTAAAATAAGATTAAATCTTTCTCCTCCCAAGTATCCTCATTCCTATTCTTATTTGATGTTTGGACAGCCAAGTAGGCTTCATGCTTGTGATGTGCCTTCGATGCTTCCCAAGTAGGTGTTGTCACTGAATGAACTTGTCTTAAGATGGGACATCAGAATAACTTAAGGCCACCCAAAACAATTTCACTGTAGAGAAAACTCATCATATAGGAGCAAAGGCAAAGTGTGAATGAGCGATGATAACCTTAGTTCTTAGACCACAGACATAACTCTAAAAATTCATAAAACTTGATTGTGTCTGAAAGCTAGTCTAAGCCTAATTCATTTTTAGTGGTTCATGTTAAAGAGGTCTAGAAAAGGTAATCTTTGGCAGGTTTACTGCTAATGTTTTTCAGTTTTCTACAAATTCTCCCTAGTGATACAGAGGGTGAAAAGGAAATCCAGCCTCTGCTTTAACTACCTTTGGTTCTGCAGACTCTGCTTCATGCTACAAATTTCAGAGATGTATTTCAAAAGAGAACAAGGAATGTGGGTGGTGTCTGTCTTGTTTACTAAAATCTGACTGTCTTTGTAGTGCATCTCCAGCATGTAATGACTTACCACAGTATCTGTTCTGTACTGTTAAGGATAGTTAAGAAACTGAACATAGTTTCCATGAAAAAGACTACTTAGAAAGCTCAATGGGTGTCATATATAACAAAGGTAGAATCATCAAAATATCCTGATTTCTGGGATCTCTGGTTTTATTTACATAAGCAGTTTTTTCTTACCAATGCAAAGTAACTAGTGCAAAATTTGCCCTCACAACAAAAACAGCTTTCAACTTGGACACATGTAAGCAGGTGTTTCCTCCAGGCATTGAACAGTAAGCAACACAGTTCTATGTTCTCTTAGAGGAGGGAGACAAAAGTTGAACATCCTGGGGTTTTGCTTGAAGGTATCTTTTAGCATTATCACAGAGGAGTTGAGTACAAGCAGGGTGGTACTTCTGAGCTGAAGAAGCAGAGGTTTGGAATACTGAAGCAACTGGACTGTGTGTGTGTGTGTGTATACACACAGATTTTAAGAGAAAAGAGAGCTATAGGATAGAGGTGGAGATTTGAATGAGGACTTATTAAAGATATGGAATGTGTATATGTAGCAGAAGCTTATCTGCTCTGAGACTTAGTGTTGAACAGTGATACCACACATTATGTAGTACCAGGAATCCGTAGAGTTACAGACCAGCCAGAATGGAGAAGCCTCATGATAATTGAGGCTTAATTGTTAAGAAATGTAACACCTGAGGAGTGGAAGCATACCCTAGAACAAGGGTTGGCAAAGTTCTTAAGGAACTCGATAATATATGTCTAGGCTTCCAAGCCATATTACTGAAGACTAAGTCCTTATGCCCCACACCCCAAATTCTTATGTTTAAACCTAATCCCTAATGTGACAGTATTTGGAAGTGGAATCTCTAGAAAGCAGTTGTTATAGTATTATTGCCCTTATGAAAGAGACTCCCGAGAACTTCCTTGGCTCTCAACAGACAATGAATCTGTGATGCCTTGACTGAGTGGACTTCCTAGTCTGCAGAATTGTGAGAAATAAGTTTCTGTTGTTGTAATCACCTGTGTTTGGTTCAATGGACTGAGACACATATATTATATGAACTACTCATCTCTGCTATTGTAGCACAGAGGCAGTCACAGACAATCTATAAATAAATAGATCTATAGATTTACCAATCTGAAAAAAGGGAGAGGGTAAGTTTTTAAATACTAAACATAGTACCAGTAAGAAGATAATGCAAGAGTGACTTAAAAAGTGAGAAATTAAGATACTTTAAGCCCAGAAAAGACGGGAAAGGCTGGAAAAAGAAAAAGGGACAATTAGAAAACAGCATGACCAACTTCCATATTTAAAAAAAACTATTTGAAAGGAAATGGACAAAATTTCCTGTTAAGAAGAGATGAGGCTAGGGGTGTGGCTCAAGTGGTAGAGTATTTGCTTAACAAGCATGAGGTCCTGAGTTCAAATCCCAGTACCACAAAACAGGATTTTTTTTATATGAGATGCAGATGTAATCCAGATCACACAAATATAGTCAACTGACCTTTAGCAAAGGCAAAACAATGCAGAAAACAGTCTTTTCAACAAGTATTATGATAACTGACTATCCACATACAAAACAAACCTAGACACAAAAAACAAACCTAGTCTTCACAAAAATTAACTCAAAGTAGTTCATAGACCTAAATATAACACATAAAACTATATCACTCCTAAAACATAATGTATAAGAATACATATGTATCCTGGGATTTGGTGATGACCTTTTTAGATATAACATGAAAGACATGATCCATGAAAGAAATAATTAACATTTTGACATCACTAAAAAGCCATATTCTCTTGAGAAGACAAACCACAGACTGGGAGAAAATGTTTTAAAAGCATATTTGATAGAGTTGTTACCAAAATATACAAAGAACTCTTAAAACTCAATAAGAATATGAACACCTGATTAAAAATGGGCAAAAGATCTGAATAGACACCTCAGCATAAGAAAAAATATTCATCATATGTCATTAGGGAGTTATGAATTACAGCAACAGTGAGATACCACCACGACCACTTAGAATGGCAAAAATCCAAAACACAATACCAAATGCTAATGAGGACATGGAACAACAGAATCTTCATTGCTGGTAAGAATTCCAAATGGTACTGTCACTTTGGAAGATGGTTTGGCAGCTTCTCATACAAGTAGATACACTCTTCCTATATGATCCAGCAATTACACTGCTTCAGTATTTATTCAAATGAGTTCAAAACTTATGTGCCACATAAAAACCTGCACTCAGATATATTTATTCATAACTGCCCAAACTTAGAAGCAACCAAGATGTCTTTCAGTTGATGAATGGATAAACCAGTACATCTAGATAATGGAATAACATGTAGCATTAAAAAGAAATGACTTGTCAAGCCATGAAAAGAAAAAGAAGAACCTTAAGTGCATGTTACTAAGTTATGAAAGCCAGGCTGAAAGGACTATGTAGTGTTTGAATCCAACTATATGATATTCTAAAATAGGCAAAAGTATGGAGACTATGAAAAGATTGTGGTTTCAGGGTTTATGGAGGAATGTGGGATGGGTAGGTTCAGCACAGATGATTTTAGAGGCAGTGAAACTATTCTCCGTGATACCATAGTGATTGGTACACATCATTACACATTTGACAAAACCCAGGAGTGAGCCATAATATAAACAGTGGGCTTTAGGTGGCTGTGATATGTTAATGAAGTTTCATTGATTATAATAAATGTACCACTCTGGTGTGGGATACTGATAGTGTGGGATACTGATAGTGTGGGAGCCTGCGTGGGTGTATACAGTCAAGGGTATATGAAGAATCTGTACTTCCTACTCAGTTTTTGTGTGAAACTAAAGCTGATTTCTAAGAGTATACTTACAAATAGTCATTATATGCTATCTATAAGAGTTGCACACTAAACATAAATGTGTATGTCACCAATAGCTTCAGAATACATGAAGAACTAAAAACTGACAGAACTGGGAGAAATAAACCACAAGCATAGCTACAGATTTAAATGTTGCCCTGTCAGTAACTCACAAAATATCCCAAGACAAAATAAAGAATATACTTTTGTAAGCATTATGATCCAATTTGAGTTAATTGACATTTATAGAACAATATACTCAACAACTAATACGTATTCCCAGCAAGTGCTTATGGAATATACACCAAGACAGACTGTGCACATGATAGTCTCAATAGATTTTAGCAGTTTAAAATCTTACAAAGTATATTTCCCAACCACTCTAGAATTAAATTAGCAATAAACGATAATAGAATATCCAGACAAGTCACATATATTTGGAAAATAAACATCACATCTTTAACCTGTGAGAAATCACAAAGATTGTTAAAACATATTTTCAACTAAATAAAAGCCACAGTATATCGAAGTTTTCATATCATCTTTAAAGCTTTCAAATGCTTATAATAAAAGGGCTTAAATCAGTTATCTAAGCTTTCACCTTAAGCTAAAGAAGAAAGAGCAAATGCAAAGTAAGCAGAAGGAAGGAAATCTTACAGATAGTGCAGAAATCAATGAAAGCAATATGATTTCTTTAAAAAGATCTAATAAGCTGAGTGTGGTGCTACATACCTGTAATTCTAGCACTTGGGAAGTTGAGGCAGGAGGATTGACAGTTCAAGGCCAGCCTGGGCTACATAATGAGATCCTGTCTCAAAAAACCAAAAATGTTATAAAATAGGCAAATCCCTATTCAGACTAGTCAGCAAAATAACAAGAGTCACAAATTATCTAAGATGTGCAGTACAAAAAAGAAAAAGATGTTTCTGTAGATCCTATGTACGTTAAAAGGGTA